AAAAAAAAAAAAAAAAAAAAAAAAAAAAAAAAAAAAAAAATTCCTCATATGTCATCTCATATCTATTTTCTCATAAAAAAAGAAATTCTACAAAATACCTAATACAAAATGTAAATATACATTAAATAAACATTGAAAATTGATCCGATCGAAATTATCCTCATGCGGACGACTCGAAAGCTCCATCTCCAACGGCGGCTAACTTTTGCGGAGGGGAGCTCCTTGTGTTGGCCCTGCGAGTCGCATCTTCCTTCTTCTTTGTAAAGTCACGACTTATGTTCAAATCCGTGCGAATCTCCTCAATCGACATGTTCTTGATCATGTCTGCCCACACTTGGAATGTGATGTCGAGCATCCCTCTGATGTTCAAGTAGTTGGCAGCCTGAAAACACGAGATCACTAGCTACTGTTAAATAAAAAAACGACACCAACATTCTATTATGTTTTGCTTTTATGAAAGCTTCTTGCAGTGAACACTGAGGACAACTTTGTATTGATATTTTCCATGGCATCTATAAACACTTCAGACAATGTTATTATTATCTTTGCAATCCTTGAATAGAATGAATTTTGCACCACAATTCTACAAGACTCAACAAAAAAACTCGTAGATTCGCATTGACCTACACGATGCACATTCTTAGAACATTTAATATACAAATCCAATGATTAGTTCATAACCCACAAGTATGAAAATCAAAGGAACACGAATAGAACATGGATTGTTCAACCCAACATCTCGTGGCAAAACAATATGTGCGACACGGCGAATCTTATACGTACAACAAAAAACTCAAAACCGAAGTAAATAATCCAATTCCCTAAAAGACCAAAATAATAAATCGTGGAGTTCTCGTCTACATAGGCAAACCGGTATATGCAATAAAAACCAGAGTCCATACGAAAAAACAAAGAAAACAAAAAATCAAATAGAGAACACAGAGTTATACCCATGTTCTGAGACAAAACAGTTAATGCGTCAAAATCAATAGCTCCTACATCGATGGTAAAATCCATGGCCTAAACTCAAAACAATCAAATTCGCAAACACAAAATGATACTATCTACAAAAGCAAAGCAATAAATGCAACAAAATCAGGAGGCAAAAACACACCAACGACAAAATCCAGCATTTCAAAACTCAAAACAATCGAACAGGTGGAAGATACCTTGATCAGTTCTAGCAGCAGGCCGTGGAAGACGACCATTGATAAAAACGACGATTTATCAATAATGATCCATTCTTCGAGCTCGCCGAGCATAAAAAAGACGCTGGATGTTCAGAGCCTTCGGTTTCGAGGATATCGAGAGCATCGACGAAGAATGTTTGGATGAGGGGCGAGAGGAGGAGTGGAGAAGGAAAAGGAAATAAAATAGACGTCGAGGGAGAAGAAAAGGCGGTTGGTGGATGCGTCTTTGTAGTCGGCCATGGAAAATGAGAGGATTTGAAGAAGAAAGTGGTTGGGATAGGGAGGATGAATGAAGGAGGGAGAAAGGTATAAATCTGGTTTAGACTTCCTATGCAAATCCCATTAAATCTGCCACTATCCAAATAAAACATAACTCGTCCTTAATTAAAAAATTGAAAACAAGAAAATTGATGTTCGTATATTTACAAATAAAATAGTTTGGTCAGGTACTTTTGCTAATTAGTATATACGTGTAGTTTATATGCAATAAAAATGGTTAGAGATGGTTCGGGAGGTAATTTTCTCTTTTTTTAAATTATTAATCTCCCTTGGCCCAACTAACATAGGCCCAATTTAATGCTCCACTCATGTTGTTCTTTTCTCTCTCGTCTTACGATAAATCTCCCGTCCATTTTATCTTTGAGAGTTCTTCAAGTTCACGCTCTTCTTCGCGATTTCCTTCTCGCAATTTTCTTCTGTTCATGATCTCTCATGTTCTAAGTCGTAATTCTCCACCAATTCCTAATTTTTCGAATCCAAATTCCTGTTCGCGATTGACCCTTTCTTGGTCGCGATTTCTCGCTCCCAGCGACGTGCTTGCCGTTTTCCCGAACTTTCTCGAGTATCTTTTTCCAACTCGTTTTCTCCTCAAGCGATTTTCTTTTCGCGATTTTTGAATTTATTTCTGCTTCACGAATCTGAATGGGTCTCGATTTCTCACGATCTGTCGTGTAGTCAAGGTATGTTCTTAACTCGACCGCGATTTTCCCCTAATCTGCAAGTCGCGATTTAATATTACTCGTCATTTTCCCCAAGTCGATATTTCCCTCGCCGATTTCTGTAAGATAGCAAGTTGAGGTTCTAATTCCGCGAGATGTCAATTCGGGGCTGGTAGCAAGTCGAGGTTCTGATTCTGCGAGACAGCAAGTCGAGGTTGGTAGCAAGTCGAGGTTATTCTACTTTTATCAGCGACATGTTAGTCGTGAATCATGATTTTGTTTTTCTCGACTCGCGATTTCCTCTGTTTCGCTGTCGCAATCTCGTCTCGCAATGTGTTGATCGCGATCTGCTAATCGCGATGTGTCGGCCGTGAGTGTGCTCTCTTTTGGTCGCGTTTTTTTGGTTAATTCGAGGTGGGTTACAATTCTTCTACTGGGACGCATCAAGGCCTTGGTTCAATCAATTTGCGAGGTGTTGGTCCAACCCTGTTAATCGTGAGGCATCAGCCGAGCTGTGTTAATCTCCGAATGGTTGGTCGTGATTTTTTTTCTTATTTGATGTGTTAATCGCGTTGGTATCGCTCGTTTTCTGTGAATTTGTATTGCTCGTTTTTCCTTTGCGTCTCATACGAGCTTAGGCTCTTGTCCATTGTGATGTGTTAAATCACGATTCAACTGCCGCTCCTTATTTAGTGATATGTTAGTCGCGATCTTGATTTTCGTGTGATGTCCAGGTTGCTCATAATTTCCTTAACTTCTGATATTTTTTGTCCTGCGACTAGATTAATTGTCTGAGTTGCTCATTTTCTCTGTGCATTTTGTGTTGATACTCGACGTGTAATGCGCTTGTTGCAATTTATGGTTTCCTAGTCGGTGACTTGTGCTTTCCGATGTTTACCCGGGTTAGTCGCGGTATGTTCCTGTGAGTTGTTTGTTTTTCTATTACTCCTCCATATGCATCTGCTCACAATTCTCTATGTATCAGGTAGCTCGAGCTCATACATCTGTTCGCAATTCTTTTATGTATCAGGTAGCTTACTCCTCATGTTGCTCGCATATGTCTATTTGCGATATGTTGATATGCTCCCTTCAATTGTGTGGTACATTGTTCTTCGATTCTCTGTGATTGATTCATGTTCTTGACTGGCTGTATCTAATTCTGTTTAGTTTATGCATCTGCTCGCAGCTCTTATAGTGATGGCTCGCAACTCTTTGCCATAACCTTCTCAAGGCTTGGGTATCAGCTCGCAGCTCACATTTTTCGTAGCCCGCAGCTCATGCCTACTTCCAATTCGCAACTCGCAGTGGCAGCTCATTCCTACCATCCCCCCTTGGCTCATTGCTCACCGAGGCTTAGCTTCGGGAATGACTTCAGTAGTTTGATTATTTTTTTAAGTCATGTAAGGTCTGGATGACCGTTTAACCAATTCAAGTATGATTTCTGTTCTTTTGTAAAGTCGCGAAGACCATAATATTTTCTTCTTTTTGCTCAAGGTCGCGATGGCCCATATGTATTTGCACTTGTATTTTACTCCATGCTTGTTTGTGATGTAGGTAGCTTGTTTCCGCTAGATATCTTTAACCATGAGTTGTTGGGTCATGAAGACCATATGTTTTTTATCATGAGGTCTCAATGACCAGTGAAATATGCTGGCTATGTTCGTTTAGATTGAGGTCTTGATGACCTCTACTTGAGTCGCGATGACTTACTAGGTCGCGATAAACACTAGTAGAGTCTCATTGTGTTTTGTTAAGTCGAGATGAGATGACCTCTAGCAAGTCTAGCAGGTCGAGATGAGCTTCTAACTCCTCATCTGTCAAGTTTAGGTGAGCTCTTGCTCCTCTTTGTTAAGTCAAGACGACCTCTATCAGGTCGAGATGATCTCTAGCAAGTCTAGCAGGTCGAGATAAGCTTCTAGCTTCTTATATGTCAAGTCTAGATGAGCTCTTGCTCCTCTCTTATTAAGTCGAGATGACCTCTAGCACCTCCATTGTTAAGTCGAGATGAGCTCTTCCTCATCTCTTGTCAAGTCTAGATGAGCTCTTGCTCTTCTCTTGTGAGGTCGAGATGAGCTCTTGCTACTCTCTTGTCAAGTCTAGATGAGCTCTTGCTCTTCTCTTGTGAGGTCGAGATGACTTCTAGCACCTCCATCATCAGGTCGAGATGAGCTCTTGCTCCTCTCTTGTGAGGTCGAGATGACCTCTAGCACCTCCATCATCAAGTCGAGATGAGCTCTTGCTCTTCTTTTGTGAGGTCGAGATGACCTCTAGCAACTCCATCATCAAGACGAGATGAGCTCTTGCTCTTCTCTTATGAGGTCGAGATGACCTCTAGCACCTCCATCATCAAGTCGAGATGAGCTCTTGCTCTTCTCTTGTCAAGTCTAGATGAGCTCTTGCTCTTCTCTTGTGAGGTCGAGATAACCTCTAGCATTTTCTCGCGATCGTATTCTTTCAGATTTACTTTATATATTCATATTATGTCCTCACCCAACCCAACTTGCGAGTTGTTCCAAAGTTGGAATCAACGAGCAACTCTAGGCAACATAGAGCAGTTTTAACTAAAAAAAAAATCAATTTACGATCTCACCCAACCCAGCTTGCGAGTTGTTTCAAAGTTGGAGACCACCTTGCTCCTCAAAAGCCTTAATGATGGTGGATTTTAATTTCAAACACTTGCCCAACCCAAGTCTATGATTGTTTCAAAACAAGTGTCCACCCAGCTCTTCAAATGCCTTAGACATGGTGGGTTTTGATTTCAACACGTGCCCAACCCAAGTCTAGGATTGTTTCAAAACAAGTGACCACCCAGCTTATCAAAAGCCTTAGACATGGTGGATTTTGATTTCAAACACTTGCCCAACCCAAGTCTAGGATTGTTTCAAAACAAGTGTCCACCCAGCTCTTCAAATGCCTTAGACATGGTGGGTTTTGATTTCAAACACTTGCCCAACCCAAGTCTAGGATTGTTTCAAAACAAGTGACCACCCAGCACTTCAAAAGCCTTAGACATGGTGGGTTTTGATTTCAAACACTTGCCCAACCCATGTCTAGGAATTGTTTCAAAACAAGTGACCACCCAGCTCTTCAAAAGCCTTAGTCACGGTGGGTTCTGATTTAAAACACTTGCCCAATCCAAGTCTAGGATTGTTTTAAAACAAGTGACCACCCAGCTCTTCAAAAGCATTAGACATGGTGGGTTTAGATTTCAAACAATTGCCCAACCCAAGTCTAGGACTGTTTCAAAACAAGTGACCACCCACCTCTTCAAAACCCTTAGACACGGTGGGTTTTGATTTCAAACACTTGCCTAACCCAAGTCTAGGATTGTTTCAAAACAAGTAACCACCCAGCTCTTCAAAAGCCTTAGTCATGGTGGGTTTTGATTTCAAACACTTGCCCAACCCAAGTCTAGGATTGTTTCAAAACAATTGACCACCCAACTCTTCAAAAGCCTTAGACATGATGGGTTTTGATTTCAAACACTTGCCCAACCCAAGTCTAGGATTGTTCAAAAAAAATGACCACCCAGCTCTTCAAAAGCCTTAGTCATGGTGGATTTTGAGATAATGGACTTCGTAGTCATTTTCAGCTTAGTAGCTACTCGAGAAACTTAAATCATTTTCTCTTATAGACTTAGACAACTTTAGATTTAGAGTTTAGCCACTATAGCCATGATGTAGTATCCCAATGCTCTAGGTCGAGGTGGTCTAGTCAAAGTAACTTGGTAGTCTCCTCTTCAAGTCATCTCCACTCCAAGCCTTCACCTAGTCTCACTTAGTTGTATATAAGTCACGAAAGTCGCTCTTCCACCTAACGGGAGGTCTCCAAGTCATCCAGCGGGATACCAACTCGTCATGAGTGTCCCTAGGTAGTCTAGAATGATCCTAACTCGTCATGAGTGCCTCCAAGTCGTCCAGAATGATCCCAAGTCGTCCTTGGATGGTTTCAGGTCGTCCCAACTTGTCTTGGGTGCCTCTAAGTCGTCCAAATTGGTACCAAATCGTCCTGGGATGGTTTCAGGTCATCTAGACTGCTCCCAACTCGTCTTGGGTTCTTCTAAGTCACCCAGATTGGTCCCAACTCGTCTTGGGTGCCTCTATGTCCTCCAAAGTGTCAGTAGGTCATCCGTTG